CTGATGTTAACTGAAGTTCCACTACGTTGATTCAGCAGCCGTATATAACGCGTTTTTTTTTGCTGTTCAGGTGTCGTTTGATTATTGTAAGTACACAGTACCAGGTCTCAATACAGAGCCTCTCTATTGAGTGTGACTTGAATTGCCGTTGTAGGTCCGTCAAAACAGTCGACCCACACTTAGTTATCTCGGTACTGTATCGACTTGCGTGTCACACTAATGGGCCAGATCCCAGACCCAGGCCTTGTTGTTTCACGTCTATCAGGGTTCCAGTTCATTATTCAGGAGCATGGGCCCGGCATATCTAGAATCTAAAACTTGCCCATCGGATTTCGATGGGGTTAGAACTGCGCGTCGGTTTAAACAGGCCAGGCTCTAAATCTAAATCTGTTTGGTATGGTTCAAGTGTGAGTTCAATGCGATGTGAGGTAACATGAGCCAGGCTTCAGATCTTGAGTTTTTTCCCATAGAATGCATGGCGATGATGAGGGGCAAATTTTATGAGCATGAGCTCGTGGTGATGATATTGATGATGGTGATGGCGATGGCGATGCTGTTGATGATGATTGTGTTGGTGATGATCATATTGATAACTGTCATGCTGATGCTGGTTATGATGGTGATGGTGATGGTGATTCAATTCGTATCCGCTGCGCCTACGGTGAACCACCGCCGCCCCCTGCCTTCCGGAAGCGCCTATGTTGCCAAACGTTGGGCCGAAGTCTTGCCAAATTATTGGCGGCGTGTTCCCCTAGCCGTTGCGAATACCCTTGGGGGGAACACATGGGGAAGGAAAACGAAGAGGAGACGGTGAGCGATAATAAACGGGGCCTCGTAGGTGTCTCTTGGGAGCTCCTTGGGGGCCTTTTGGGGGCCCCTCGGGCCTCTGGTCGGATCTCTGACCAAGGCGGCAAGTTTAAACCCAGTTTTTCGCGCCCCGTGGGGTCACACCCGTCCTGGCTTTCTAGACCGCGCCCGCCCCGTTGGGATCTCCCCCCATCGCGAGTGCGCGACCTCGGGAACGCCAGCTCGCGGGAATCTACTGTGGGCTGTCACTTCGAAGGCGCTAGCTGACTCGTTGCCATTTTCACTTGGGGTCGGGGCCTCGGGAGTGCGACCCTGGCGTACTGCACAAGGGGCTTTGGCCTGGAGAGCGCGCGAGCTTGGAGCAAGGGGCCTGGGGAATGCGGCCTCGGGGGCGCCAGTGCGAAGAGGCACTCAGCTGGGGAGCGTGGCCTCGGGGAGCGCACGCCTGCCGCAGTTTACCGAGGGAGGTGCCCCCGGGAGCGCGAGCCGGGCGTGATGTCTGGTCACGTCGCGTGGGAAGGATGGGCAATTGTCCACGGCTGCCCTTGCATCCTTGCCCCTTCGGCCCATCCTTGGCGGCGTCGGCTGGCCAGCCAGGTTCGAGAACGCCAGCATGGCCTTCCGCGGCCCTTGCACTCTTGCCGCGCATCCCTGCTGTTCGGCTTGACTGTACGGCCTGTGGCTTGCGGGGCGCGAGTCTGGCGTAAGTTGACAAGTTTCGTGGTCTCGGGAGCGCAAGCGAGTAAAAACCTAGAGCGAGTAGCAACTCACAAGGGACAGTTGTTTCCGGGTCGCAAGGTTGTTGCAACTTGCACGGGGTTGTGGCCTCGAGAGCGCGAGCCTGGCGTATTCTACTGTGGACTATGGCTTGGGGAGCACGATCTTTCCGCCATTTGCAATGGGTTGTTTTGCCTCGACAGCGCCAATCCATAGTGCTTCTCCAAGGGCTGTGGCTTCGGGGACGCAAGCTTGTCGTCATGTGCTATGGCTGTGGCCTCTGGTGCGCAAGTCCGGTTCGATTTATTCGGGGCTGTGGTTGGGAGAGCGCGACCCTGGTGTATATACTACGGATTGTGGCTTCGGGAGCGCGGGGACCTGTCGTACACTACAGGGGCCTGTCGTTTCGGGAGCGCCGGTGCGCAGTAAGCTTCGTGGGTCTGTTGCTTCGGGGACGCGGGCTGGTCGCCATGCACACAGGACGCGCGAGCCTGGCGTAATTGACACGGGGTTGTAGTATTGGGAGCGCGAGCCTTGCGTCGTTTACAAAGAATGGCGGCCTTCGGGAGCGCCAATGCGTAGCTATTGAGGGTTTGCGGCTTCGGGGACGCAAGCTTGCCGCACAGTGCTAAAAGAGTATGGCCTCGAGGGCACGAGCCCGGCGTGACGTACGGTGGATTTGATTGTGGCTTGGGGATCGTGAGCCTGGAGTCATTTGCAAGGGAGAGTGTCTTCGGGAGCCCCAGCGAGCAGTGATTTACTAATGGTTTGGCGTCAGCGGCGCAAGCCCTTCGCAACTGGCGAATGGATTGTGACCTCAGCAGCGCGAATGTGGCGTAAAGTTTATTGGGTAGTGGTGGCTTGGGGAGCGCGGTTCTGGTGCAAGTTTTTACAAACGGACTGTGGCTTCGGGAGCGCGGGCCTGTCGTAAATTGCAAGGGGGGTGTCGCTTCGGGGGCGCCGACTTGTCGTCATGCACAGGGGATTGTGGTCTTGCCAGCGCGAGTCTAGTGGAACTTGCGAGGGATTGCGGATCGATGCGGATCGGGGCGCGCGAGGCCGACGTACTTTGCGACGGGTTGTGGCTTGGAGAGCGCGAGCCTGTGTTTGTGCTGCGCTTCCCAGGGCACCCTCCGCACCTGAGATTCGGGTGTGGTTGGCGGCCGCTGTTCGGCCTCCCTTCCTCGCGCGGTCTTCCGTCACTGTACAGCAAGGCAGCCAGAAACGGGAATTCGGCAGCAGATCGTGGGAGCCTGCTGCACCCTCCTAATTCCGCCTGTAGCGTCGATTGGCGTCGATGAGCGCCCGGGAGTGGAGGGCATAGCGCCCGATTCAGCGTCGGCTAGCGTCGATGAGCGTCGATGTAGCGTCGAGCCGCAGCTGCCGCGTGGAACGAGAGTCAGGAGGGGATCAAACACACAGACACAGTGAATCGTCGATGTCCCAGAAAACATTGGAACAATATGGGAAGTGGGGGGGAAGACAAAAACCCAGAAAATATGGGAAGATATGGGGGGATGCTTTTGTTGGTGTGTATTTATCTGTGTGCCCCAGGACCCCTTCAGAGAGCGCCTGCGCCCCGCGGTCCGACGGGCCCACCACGGGGGGGCCCCGCACCGGGCCTCGGCGCCTCGGTGCGGCCCGAGGCGTGCGTGGCGCCGCTGTGCACCCCCGGCGCAGCCGAGAGCCGACGCGAGCTCGGCCCCGCGCCGGTGCACCCCTCCCAAAGGGTGCCTCTGCATCCCTGCCTCCTGGGTCCGTCCCTGGACACTTTCGTCGGCCGCGCCCCGCTCGAAGCGCTTCGGAATGGGCGTCCGAGGCTCTGAGGAATTGCGCAGACGACCTGAGGGCACGCCCAGGCCCAGTTGCGTAGCGGTGGGGGCGTCGGTTGAGGAATGGTCCGACGCACGCTCCGATCCGATGCGACTTCGCGCCTCGGTGCCGGCTCCCGATGTCGATGCTGAGGGATCTCCTCCTCCTCCTCCTCTTCCGCCTCCTCCTCCTCCTCCTCCTCCTCCTCCTCCTCCTCCCTCCCCCTGCTGTTCTCTTCTCTTCCTCTCCTCCTCCTCCCCTCCTCCTCCTCCTCCTCCTCCTCCTCCTCCTCCTCCTCCTCCTCCTCCCCCTGCTGTTCTCTTCTCGTGTTCCCCTCCTCCTCCCCTCCTCCTCCTCCTCCTCCTCCTCCTCCTCCTCCTCCTCCTCCTCCTCCTCCTCCCTCCCCCTGCTGTTCTCTTCTCGTGTTCCCCGGCCGGTCTCCGTGGTAGCCGCGGGGGTCTCTCCCCCTCTCGTGGGCCCCTGCTGCCTCTGGAGTGCTGGGCTGCCTCCTCCTCCTCCCCCTCCCTGAAGATTGCCCTCTCCCTCAATCCCTCCCTCCCTCCCTCAATCTTCCTCCTCCTTCTCCTCCTCCTCCTCCCTCCTCCTCCTCCTCCCCCTCCTCCTCCTCCTCCTCCTCCTCCTCCTCCTCCTCCTCCTCAATCCCTCCCTCAATCAATCTTCCTCCTCCCTCAAGCTTCCTCTTCCTCGTAATCGGCGCGCTCTTCCTCCTCTCCTCCCGTGGGCCCCTCCTGGAAGTGTCAGACTTGTTTCAGAGCGCTCTGGGGCAAGACATTACTGTCGGCGCACTAGTTTCCGTCCAGTTCTGCAGCGGGGCCATGGCAACACTAGAGGCAAGATTAGGCGTTGTGCTCTCCACATGCGCCGGTGTCGGATACGTCAGAAGAGAACGCTACGTGGAAGCACGCTGCAGCAGAGGGAATCGTGATGGCGCGGACGTGGCAACAAGGTCAAGTGTGTCAGCAGCAGCTGCTGCTTCACGGTTCATGATTGACGGCGGTGACGTTGGTAGCACCAGTCGAATTGTTGGGTAATGGAGTCTGTGTTGCACACACGAGCTGCATACTTTCAGAATGCATCCCCTTTGCGAGGGTTTATTCATCTTGTCTAGCATTGACATGGCTGGGCGCTGTCGTGAGAGTGAGTCTGGGAGTGATTTATTCGCTGTGATTTCACGCGGGACAGCTGTATGAAAGTGGCCGCGAGTGGCTTTCCCCCTCGTGAATTCACAGGGGGAGACCAGGGGGGACCCAAAAAGCATTCCCGCCTGGCCAGGCCGAGAGGCCGAAAGCCGTCGTGCTGGGTGTCCACGGGGGGGGAAGGGGGCCCCACCCGGAGATGCCCGAATCGTTGCGCCCAAGATGACTACAGTGGGGGCCCATGCCAAGAAACACTCTGCTTGCCTCCAGGGTGCCCTGGGTTTCTTGGGTTTGTATGGTTCTGCTATGGAATGACGTTCCCACACCAAAAACCATGGAAATCCTGGGGTCTCAGGGTTGGGTTTCTTGTGGAAGGTTTCTTGTGGACTGGCCCCCACTGTAAGTATGTGAGGCGTCGAGTAAAGCAGCCTAGCAGACCATCACTGAGAGCGCGAGTACATGCACGGCTTTGTGGCATGTCTCCCGTCTTCGTGTGCGCCGTGCGAGCCAGGAAGCAGCGGCAGCCATGCCCGCGCCAGCTTCCTCGTCCGCATCTCACGAAGAGATGCAGCAAGAGCTCCAGGCTCGCTGGCCGTCTTGACTTGCAGCGGTTGCCACCAGCACTTGCCCCAGCCAGTTGTTGTCCACTCTTGGTCTCCCGACCACGGCCGCTCTGGCGTCTCAGAGTCTTTCCCGTCGTGCCTCCGTCCGTCACAGATCTTCAGTCAATGGCGCACCGTCATATCTTCAGGGCTCCCAAAGCAAGATGTGAAAACATAGCGGTGGTCTTTCGTCTTCCATGTGGCCATTTAGGTTGAAGCCTAAGGCGTTGGAGTCGAAAGGGCACTGTGATGTGTTTTCGTGGAGCTTAAATGGGTGCTTATTTCGATGCGGTCGAGCCGACTTGCTGTCGATTCCGGCTGGTCTTGGTCAGATTCGACTGCTGCCTGCATGGCGCCGTAGAGCACCCAGCGCAGCCGATCCATTTCGACCTCGTTTCCGCGCCGGTGCTGCCCAGTGGCCGTGCCGGGTCCGGCGCACCCGTCGGTTCGATCAGTTTTCCCGATCCGATGCTGGCTGGTCCCTTGGCATCGCTCGGACGTCGTTCGCTTTCATCGGCGAGGCCAGCGCCAGAAAGTCTGGAACATCTCGGGTCGTGTTGAGCGGCTATCCTGCAAGCCTCGTCAAAAATGGATCGAAGCGCCGTTCAGAGTCGAAGCGCTCGATGGTTCGGGCACCTGTCAGGAAACGCGTTCTTCAATGCCGTGAGGGCCGGATTTCGGACACCCCTGTGTCTGGGCCGAATACCTCATGCCAGCATTGCAGTAGCGCCCACCACGCAAGCACCGACAACAAAAGCCGTCAATTTAGTTTTGCCGAGTCTTGTAAGAGAAGAAAGCGCACGCAAAACCACACAGTGCACGGGCCAAACACGTCCGAGCGAGGACGAGATCCCTCCTGGAGGCATCCATCTCGGGCCCTCTCAGAACTCCAAAGGCATGCGTTTTTCGCTGGGTCGGCCCCCAGGATGTCTGGACCGCTCCCCCGGGAGTGGCGTTTCATCCCTGGCCGTTTTGGACGGTCTTGGGGCCCAGTGAGGGGGGCGCCCAGAGGCCGACAACTGCCAGGAACCTCCCGCCGTGACTCCATGGATTTTGACTGTACGGTCGGGAACTTTCGGATAGCGTGTCGGTCCGCCAGGTCTCGCCCCACCATGCTGCGGCGCGACACGCAGTCCACTTCTGGGTGCCCAAGCGTGCACGCCCCGAGCCTTTCCCAGCCTCCCGCCCTGCGGAGCGGAGCGACACGCTAACCGCTCGGCTGGCATAGCTCGTCGCCGGGGTCGTTGCGACACGGTATCCAAAAGTTCTTGACCGTAGGCATCCTACTTATGGTTCCGAGTGCATTCAAAATCCAAAGGATGCGCTGCTTCATCAAGGCTACCCCAGCATCCCTGCTCTTCGGAACATCCTCAACAATGTTGACGTCCCAGCAGCTTTAAATTGTAAATGGCGCTTCCGAGGGTCTTGCATCCTTACCTTGCATCCTTACTATGGGTTTTGATTGTACTGTCGGGGACTTTTGGATAGCACGTCGTTCCGCCGAGCAGGAGCCCACCACTCTGTAGTGCGACACGCTATTCACTTCTGGGCCCCCCAAGCGTCCCCATCCCGAGCCTTTCCCAGCCTCCCGTTCCGCGGAGCGGAGCGACACGCTATCCGCTCGCAAGGCGCAGCGTGTCGCCGGGGGCGCCGCAGCGACACGCTATCCAGAAGTTCCTGACCGTAGGCTTCCCAGATGGGGTCCGAGTGCAGTCAAAATCCATGGTAAGGATGCGCTGCTTCATCAAGGCTACCTTACATCCCTGCTTCTTCGGCCCCTCCTGAGGCAATGTTGACGTCTCAGGAGCTTTAAATGGTAAATAGGACTTCCGAGGGCTTGAGTCCTTACTTTGCACACTTACTACGGCCGTTAACTGTAGATGGGGTCGGAGGACCGCGCCGCATCGCCGATGTATCAGCGGTGCGGCTCGACGTGGAGCCCGATTTCCTCCACGCCGACGTCGCCGATGCACTGGCGATGCGGCGCGATCCTCCGACCCCATCTGCGCCGACCCCATCTCCTGGGGGGCCTCCAACAGAGGCAGTCGGACAGACAGATCCGCGGTCACTGCCCCAACGGTTGACAAAAACCACGACGGGAGGCTGGGGAGCCAGCGGTTTTCATCATCGGGCTTTCACGCGAGGGAAAACGAACACATCACGACGGGAGGTCTTTTGCCTTTTTGCGGCCTCTGGGGGCCCTCGCCGGGCCCCAGGGCAGTCAGAAACTGGCCCGGGACGAAAGACGGGTCTGGACGAAGGGTCCAGACCTCTGGGGGTCGAGGTTATGAGCAGATCGAGACGTAGGATTTTGGGGAGGGCGAGCTGCTCTGGCTAGCACGACCTGGTGCGAATGGGGAACGGAGGGGATGGCTTGTACACGTGGCACTGAAACATGGCCAAGCGGCATCAGTTTTCAGAGTCGCCAACATTCATCTGAGAGTCTTCGTTTTGCAGTTGAACGAACTTTACCTGTTCTTTACGATGTGGGCTCTACGTGCGGAATCCTCTTTTGACATCAGTTGTCTGTTGATGGCGGCGCACCAGGAAGTCTTGTTTGATGAGGGGAGCTTTGCTGAAACGCTTTCTCGATGGCAGCAAAGGTCGCAGCAAGTTGTGGTGCACCAGCATGGCGACCAGATGACGTGGCAGCTTCAGAGCAGAGCAGGAGCTTGGTATGGCATGCCTTCAACAGGTGAGGACAGCTGAAGACTGCATCATGTATCATGTAGTTAGTACGAGTGCCTCCAGCTGAAGAGAGGAGACGTACGCTGTACGAATAATTTCCTCAGCTGGCGTTGGCAGTCGCTTTGTTTCGAAATGAGTTTGCGTCAATCAGTGAGTAAGTGGCATGGACATTGACTGACAGGGCTTGTCCGAATGAGCCCCGTCGCACATGACCCTCTCGTGAAACAAGGGGCAACCACGCTTTTCAAGGTGGGCATTTCAAACGGCAGCGTGTCCCTGCAAGCGCAACAGTGGTCATGTATGTACACATAAGTTGCCAGGGGTAGTTCGCTGCAGCTGCTGTTTAACGGAGATGCCAGCGATGTTTGCCGACTTGTGGGTCATTTGTTTAGACACGAGGGCAAGGAATGCTCTTTCCCCTCTCATCCCTCCCATCCCTCCTTCCCTTCCTGCCTCCCTCCTCCTCTTCTTCCTCCTCCCTCAGTCAATTCCGCCATCTCTTCACACCGCGCCTCACTCTCTCTCTCTCTCTCTCCCTCCCTCCCTCCCTCCCTCCCTCCCTCCCTCCCAGCCTGCTTCTCTTTTCGTAGTCGCCCCCCTCTGTGCGTTCCCTTCTTCTCCTGGCCAGATCTTCCTCTGAGCTCTCGCTCTCCATACCTCCCTCCCTCTCCTTTTCTTTGTCGTGCCTGCATCGTCCCAGCCTCCCTCCATCTTCCTCCTATGGAGACCTCCTGGACCCCATACAACCAATTTGCCCCCCACCCCCCAGGCCCACCAAAGAACAGTTTGAGTCCTTAAGCAACCTGTCTCCAATCTTCTTTCTAATTGCTCCAGGCCTCCTCCTCCCTTCTCCCTGCGTCCTCCTCCTGCTGCCTCCTCCTCCCTGTCTGCCTCCTCCCCCGTCTCCCTGCCTCCTCCTCCCCCTCGCCCCCCCCCCTGCCTGATGTCCTACTCCCCTCTGCTTCCAGGGACCCGCTGGTCACCGCTGCTTCGACGTGCACCCGCAAGGTCCGCCTCAGAACCCCACAACCTGGAAACATTACACCGCCACACTCTGGGGCCGTCTTGGGGCGATCTTGGCGGGCCTCGTGGGCCGTCGTGGAGCGTTGGGAGGCCGAAAAGGGGCGAGAACGCCAATATCTTTCAAACACCTCCGGACAATCAGAGACGTTTGCCTCTCGGGCGTCGTGGAGGCTTGTTGGGCCGCCTTGGGCGTCTTGGACCGAGCGTTCGGCGACTCGGGGCCCTCGCGGCCCGTCTTGGAAGCCTCTTGGGGCCTCCTGGGCCCATCTTGGGGCCCTCTCGGGCCAGAACATGTCACGCGAGAAGCTGCGACAAGCCCCCGACGAGGAGCGCCAAGCCCTTGTAGATTTGGCAATTTAGGGCCCGGGCCCTTCAAAGACTCCTCAAGAGTGAGGATGGAGGCCCAGAGGAATCGGCCCCAAACCAGATTTTCACTAACTGGTTGACTCTTGCAAGCATCCCACCCACCCACCCGCAACTTGGCTTGCACAACCCATGCGGCGGCGATTGCGATGAGTGCTGGTCGTTGGTTGGTGCATCTCTGCGGCCGCGCTAGCCCGCGCATGCTCGCGCGCACAGCGGTCAGCTGTATTGGCGCGACCGACGCGGCCGCGGTGGCGCTGACCACTGGGCACTTCCCAGCGGGTACTTCAGTGTGAGTCGGTGACTTGGGCGGGCGCGGTGTCATGGCGACGCCAACAACGGTAGACACGATTCTGATAGTGGCGCTTCTGGTGACGATGGTGGCGATGACGACGGCAATGTTAATGACGGCGACGATGTTGATCACGCCCGCCGCCGATAACGATGACGATGTCCTCGCGTCGGCGATGAAGGTTGTAACAGGAGTTCAACATGCGCGCACGACCGACGCGCGCGAGTGGCCCCCGTGGTATTCTTTGACACGATCGTGACCCACCCAGCACGCGCGCAAGGGCGTTCGACTGGGTTCGACATGCAGCGCGAGAGGCCTCTTTGGCATACTTTCATGAACATGTGGGAAAACCGATGTTTTTTTTAAAGAATCCGCAAGACAATGGAACCAGGAAGTTTTGTTCATAAAACTATTGTCGCAATGCCGCTTGTTCTTGATATGTTTCCGGGGCCTGCGATTTGGAAATCTTGACGACACCGAAGGTTTGGTCAAGGATTTGGCATGCACGCTCGACGACACGCGCGTGTGCATGTCGTCTCATTTGTGGCAAAGGGTTCGTGTGACAGCACGCGCGCAAAAGGGCGTTCGAATCATGTCGACACGCGCGCGCGAGAGCCAAGCCGGAAACATTAAAAAAAATATTTCGAAAAAATGCGCATGCGCACAGTTTTGCGTTGAAGATCGTGTAACAAGATTATGGTTTGTTTATATGTTTCCGTGGCGCTCGATGTTGAATTCCGTGCGATACCCATTGTTTTATTTGTGGCCGATTTCTTCATACTTGCGCGTGACGCGCGCGTGTGCCAGCTATATATTCCACATATAAACCATACGTTAAAAGAGGGGGTGGTTGACAACTGCTGGTCTTCGATGCACGAGTGCGCGCATAGTATTGTTTACAGCAGGATGAGAGCGGGGCGGCACTTCTCTGCATGGGATGGTATGAATTCATTTTTCGGATTGACGATGGGGCAGGATCACACGTCATTGCAATACGAAAATTGTGCACCAGTAGCCCGGGGTGGGAGGGGGTAGATCATAGTATTCTTTGAACATGGATAATCTACGTGGTGCGTTCTATGTGGAGCAACCTACGTGGCGGCGACGTGACCGCGACGGGGTAGCGACGGCGGCAGCATAGCCGCCAGACCGCCAGCAGACGGCAGACAGGCCCAGACGACGGGCGGCGACGGGGCGGCGACGGCGGCCACATAGCTGCCATAACGACAGGCAGGCCCACTTCCTTAGAAAAGAAAGAAGAACCCATATGTGCAAACACTGTTGGGACAATTTCGTGATAGGCCTGAATGGATGGTCGGCCCTTGCTTAATCGCTCGACACCCAGGGCCCGGCCGATCCACCTCCCCCCCTGCCCTGCCGGCAGAGGCCTTGCTCGCTGCCGAGAAGAAGTCTGGCCGCCAGAGAAGGCCGCCGCTATTTGGGGTGGGGTCCCCAGACATCCAACGTCTTGAAAAAACAAAGCGGAGGGTTTCCTTGTTCTCGTCCAGGGGTCCGCGCCGGGCTTCAGGACCGTCAAGAAATCGGACCTTGGGAAAGGGTCGGTACTTCCTTGACCGTGTATTAAAAAAACAAGGCGTCGGATGATCTATGGGTCTGCCTCTGCGTGACAAGAGCGGGTCATGCAACCGATGTGGGGACTCATCCATACAGTCGGACCTAGGCCAGGAGAGCATCTTTCAAGAACGTGAGGCCTTCCGCCGGCCAGCACGAAGAGCATCCAAGGGTACCCTCTCCCAGGGCGTACAAGAACATCCAGACAAGGCACGAAGATCATCAGGGCACCCTTCCCGAGCCGACCTCTCGACCTTACTCCTCGGTCCGACCGTCGCCACCGCCTGCGGGCTCGATCTTGATCTTCGGGGACTCCGGCAGGCGGCGGTCATGGACAAATCCCCGCCTCGCAGTGCGGTCGGAAAAGAAGCAAGGGGAGCACGCGGAAGCTGTCGGAGGTCCGCGCGGGGCGCGCGCCTGGGGGGGGGGAGCGCCGCAGGCGCAAACCGGGAGGTCCAGCGCCGATCCAAGAAGCCTGCGCCAGCTTCCGGCAGCTTTTGCCGGTGCAGCCTGTTGGCGATCTCCGTCCTCCTCCAGGCCTGAATGGGGAGGTCCAGCGCCCATGCAAGAAACCAGCGCCAGGTTCCGATCGTTGTTGTCTGTGCAGCTTGTTGCTGAACTCCTTCTCCCTCCATGCAGGAACGGGGTCCTGGAGGTCTTTCGCCTTCCTGGCGGGCGAAGGCGTGTGCAAACCAGGCTTCTGGCATCGTGAGGCAGGGCTCGCGCTGAGCGGCGTTTTGGGGATCTCGTGGGCCGTTTTCATTCAGGTGTCGTCGCGCAGCAGAGGCAAAATGAGGTCAGAGTGAAGGACAACAAAAACAACACGAATACGAAAAACACGCAAAGCCCCAACAATGAAACCCTGTCTGAAAAAAACGGGACGCGAAGGCGGCGGGCTGTGCCCCGGCCAGCTACGGGGGAGAGAGGAGAGCAGCCAGCAATCCGTGTTGGGTCACTGTGGAGAGGAGGCCGGAGAGAAGAGGAGAGAGGCGAGCCAGGTGCGCTTGCGCCACTTCTGACATCCTGCAAGGCGCACGCCCGAAAAACTGACGGGAACCTGGCCGACCTGGCCCTCGACTGGTTAGGTTTTGACCAGGGGGGAGGTTCGGCCCATGGGCCATCCCATCCCCTTACGCACGGGCCCCGCCTGGTCGAGCCCCCAACCTGGCGGCCAGGCCCGCGGCGCCGAGTGCACGCCCGGCGCCGCATCGCCAGGGTCCCGGGGGAACCCCGATCCGCACCGCCGCCGACGCCGAGCTCCGGTTAGCGGGCCCTCCGGTATCGCGGCGCCGTTTTTGCAGCACGTGGCGCCCGTGTGATATCACGGCTCCTCTTGGCTGGGGCGAGCCCACTGCATGCCTGGGAGGCTCCAGGCGGCTCCTCCGGGGATCCCCAGGAGCATCCCCACCGCGAAGCAGGCGCGCGGCGCCCCCAAGCAGGGGTGCCGCGCCCGAGCGCCTCGCGGCCAGCGCCAGCGCGCCCCTCTCGGCGCAGCCGCTGCTGGCCCGCGGGAAGGCGCCCCAGCGCGAGCGAGCGCCTCGCGGCTGGCGTGCGCCCGGCTGCCAGCCCGCGGGGGTCGCCCCCGCCGCGCCGCGCCATGGCGCGGCAGCACAGTCTGCCGGGCCCCGTCCGGGACCCCGGCGTTTGGGCCGCCTGGGGCCGATCCCCGGCTTGGCCCAGAAAAGCTGCGAGCCACACAGAGTGGTGGGAGAGGGAGAGGGGCCAGTAGATCCAAGCGTTCTCCAACCACAGTCTCGTTGTCCATGGGTGCGTCCTGTTTTCACCAGGTACACATTCGCGATCAAAAAGCGCGTTTGCCGAAACACCGAAAACCAATGCACAAGGATGACAGGTTATACCTCTTTCGTTCCCGCCTTCGACCTAATTGGCCTTCCCCGCTTGTGCTCCTTCCTTCCTTCCTTCATGATTCCTCCCTTTGTGCCCTTTGTATCATTGGCATGTGTTCGTTTATCATGACCACCTTGTTCTTGGCCATCGTTTCCTCTGACGAGCATTTCAGCAAACGGTCGGCACTTGTGCCGGTTTTGAGCTATACCCCTCATTTCTATCCGCGTCTGCGGGGGCTATGTGTTGATGAATGCTGCCGCACTCCCACTGCAAGGCAGCAGGAGCTAAACGAGGCGAACTCTGCGCTCCAGGCCGCCATCTTTTGTGTTGCTTCATGCTTGCAGATGACATGCGTATAAATGTGCGACGGATGGGTATCACGATGATCGTAATCGCTTCGCGGGGTGCACTTCCGGAGCACGTGAACACTTTGCGTTGCCGCGAAATGCTGCCGTGCAGTTCTGCCCGCCCCGGGGCGTTGCCAGCGTCATGGGGGGCGGATGCGCCCCCCCTTGTTTCAGCGCTGGGGCGAGCGTGCGAATGTCCACCATGGCAATGGGCATTTACCGCGTGTCAGCACAAGGCAACGCCAAGTTCATTTTCCGATCACGCGCCATTCGTTCACAATTCCGCGTGCCTCTTGGTAGTTTCCTCGGGGCCGTTTGGTGGTTTCTTGGGGGCCTTTTGGCAGTTTTTGGGGGGCCCTATTGGGGGACTTTTCGGGGCCTCCTTGGGACCTGTTGGGAGCCTCTTGGGCTGGGCCTGGGCGCTCGTGCGCCGTCTGGCCCCTTCGGAGGCCGTCTTGGGGGACTCTCGGGGTCGCCTTGTGGCTCTCTTGGAGCCCTCTGGGGCCGTGTTGGGGGCCTCTTGGGCCGTCTTGGGGGCCTCGCTGGTGCATTTTATGGCCCTCTAGGGCAGTCCATGGCAGTCCTGGGGCCCTCTTGGCAGCCTCTGTGGCCGTCTTGGAGCAATCTCGGAGGCTGCGTGGGCCGTCACGGGCCCTCGAGAGTCGAAAAAGGCGAACATGTGAACATGTTGCAACATTCTTGGGGAAATCCATGTTTTTTGCTTCTCGAGGTGCTCTTTGGGGCCCCCTTGAAGCCCTCTGGTGCCGTTTTGGGAGCCTTTGGGGCCCTCTTGGAGCCATCTTAGGCCGCCTTGGGGCCTTCTGGAGGCTATGTTGACCCGTTTGGACCCCAAAAGGCCCAAGATGCACAAGCCATTTATTTTCCTACGTTTCGAGGCCCAGAGAAGTTTGGTTGGGAGTGGTCGACGGAAGTGGCGCGATCCCATGGGGATAGGGGTGTCACGTCATTCGGTAAAGCAACACAATATGCAACAAGTCTCTAACAATGGTATACATCGAATATACGTAATCTCTGTTGACGCATCGCGTATCCCCACCAACCCATCCAGAAACGATGCCCAGGAGAGTTGGGGTGACCGGGGAAGTGTATAAGCAAGAGAAGTGGGTAGCCGTTATCTGTCGAATGTGGAGGAGGATGGAGGAGTAGATGGAGGAGGTGTAGGATCAGGAAGAGAGAAAAGGAAACGAAATAGGCAGATGAGAAGCAGGAGGAGGAGGAGGGCGAGCAAAAGGCCAGAGGCTTCTTGGATGCACGGGGGCTTCCTTGGAGGCCTCTTAGGCAGTCTTGAATGTCTCTCGGCGGTCTTGGGGACCCCTTGGGGCGTCTTGGGTGCCGTTGAGGGGTGCCTTTTGAGGCCTCTTGGGGCCGTTGAGGCACCTCTTGAGGGTCTCTTGGGGCTCTCTTGGGAGCCCTGGAGGCCATCTTGTAGGACATCGATCAAAGAAGGGGGTGTCCTTAATTAGCAGTGCCCCTGTGGAGCCTCTAACATCGCCTTTGGGGGGGCCCTTTTGGAGGGCTCTTGGAACACTCTTGGGCGCTCTTGGGGCCGTCTTGGAGTCCTCTCTTGGCGCCCTCTTGGGCCATATTGGAGCCATCTTGAGGCTCCGGAAGGCCATCAGAAGCGAAAGTGCGAGAAAGCAAACAACATGGATCACCTTTCGGTTTGGGAAGGATTTGGGCATTTTTTAAGGGGGGAGGAGGAGGAGGAGGAAGAGGAGGAGGAGGAGGAGGAGGAGGAGGAGGAGGCGAAGGAGAAGGAGGAAGAGTCGGAGGAGGAGGAAGAGGAGGAGGAGGAGGACGAGGAAGAGGAGGAAAAGAAAGAGGAGGAGGAGGAGGAGGCCACTTGGAGCCGTCTCGAGGCGGTCTTGGAGCCTCCAGGAGCATCTTGGAGGCTATCTTGAGCAGCGTCGAGCCGTCTTGGAGAACGTCTTGGAGGCCATCTTGTGATCGTTTTCGTGTTCTTTGTTTTGGGTCGGTCATGTTTAGAGAGACCACCTGCCCGTGGAACTGGCGACGCTGGGTGGCTTCATAGTTTCACAGCGCCTGGCGGCGGTAGCATCGGCGCTTGCTTGTCCTGCCCATGCACCTCTGACGTGCACGACTTCTTCTTCTTCTTCTTCTTCTTCTTCTTCTTCTTCTTCTTCTTTCTTGTTTTGCCGATCGGCGCGGGCCCTCGCACCCCCCTTCTCCCCCTCCCCGCCCCCCATGGAGTAGATCTTGGTTATTTCTGTTTGGCGCCTGTTTCGAGCGGGTGGAGTCTCCCCCATAATGGACGCCCTGTTGCAAACGATCGCGCTAAGTAGAGGTCCGGAGCCAGGCCCCCCCCCTCCCCTCCCCTTCCGCCCAATGTAGCAACGCCGAATATGAAAACGATCACCTTGAGCCATCTTGAGCGGTCTTGGAGGCCATCCTGGGCTTTTTGAGGCCCTCTTTGAGCCATTCTGGGCCACCTTGGACGCTCCAATTGGTCGCGGGGCGCCCCGTCCAGGTCCAGGGGGAGGGTGTAAGGGGGAGGGGTAAGCCCTTCCCCGAAGGGGGAAAAAGGGAAGATAGTAGAAGAAACGCTCGCAACCACCGACAACACGTTACTTCCGGACGTAGAGGAACTTCGCGGGGTGCACGTCCGGAGCACGTACAGTCCAGTCGTTCTTGGGCCTCGTGGCAGCCTTGGGGGCCTCTTGGGAGCCTCTTGGGATCCTCTTGGGGCCTCCTGGGGACGTTTTGGGCCGTCGTTAGGCGCTCTTACGCCGTCTGGCCCTAGAGTAACATGTCTCGGTTTTCCAGGGCTCATCTTCGACGTCGTGGCCGCGGGCCGTCATGGGCTTGTCAGAGCCGAAAAAGGCGAGAACGCTAAAATCGTTCAAAACCTATAGGAAAATCAATATTTGTGGCCTCTGGAAGCGCTCTTGTGGGCGTTCTTGGGGCCCTCTTGGGCCGTCTTGGGGGCTTCTTGGGCCATCTTGGGGCCATCTTGGGCCGTTTTGGCCGTCTTGGCCCGTCTTGGGGTCATCTTGAGCCGTCTTGACGTCGGCGTAGACCCCCAAGATGCCCAAGGGGCCCGAATCATCGGTTTCCCGTAGGTTTTTGTTGGTATTGAAGCCCAGGAGGGGTCCACCATCTTTGGGTCGGTGGATGTGGCGTGGCCTGGGGCGGGGGGGCTAGGGGGGGAGACATAATAACGCAATACAATGCAATACCAAGCAATTATGCAATCATTGGATACATAGGATACGTTGCATTAGGGCTTCCGCTCCGCTGCGCGACCTCCTCTGGCAGCACGTCACTTCGGACGTGGATTCCTCTCGCTTCGCGGGGTGCACGTCCGGAGTATGTACAGTGAGGTCGTACAGTGAGGCGTTTGGAGGGCCTCTTTGGGCCGGCTTGAGCCGTCTTCGGCCGCCTGCGGGCCCTCTTGAGGGCTCCCTTGAGGGCTTATTGGGCCGTCTTGGAGCCATTTCGGAGGCTTCTTGGGCCGTGCAGGAGGAATATCCAAAAATAGTCCACATATAGTTTCGGGGCGATTTGTTTGATTCCAGCGCTGGCTCTGATCACGGACGCCGCCGCGACTTCCATCTGGCTGGCGCTGCGCCGCGGTTCGCCCAGGGCGGGATATTATTGTTTAGTGACTCACCGAGGGTGTTTCAGAGCACGTTCAGTCCAGTTGTTGTGGGGCCTCCTGGGAGTCTCTCGGGAGCTTCTTGGAAGCTTAGGGGCTTTTTGGAGCCTCTGGGGGGCCTCTTTGGAGCCTCTTGGGGCCTCTTGGGGACGTCTTGGGCCGTCTTTGGGCGCTCTTACGCCGTCTGGCCACTTCGGAGGCCACTTTGGAAGCCTCTCGCGGCCGCCTTGGGGCTCTCTTGGGGTCCTCTAGGGCCGTCTTGGGGGTGTCTTGGGCCGTCTTGGAGTTTTTTTTGGCTGTCTCGGGGCCCTCTTGGGCCGTCTTGGGGCCCCCTTGGAGGCCTCATGAGGCCTCTTGGGCCGTTTGGGGGCCTTCTTGAAGGCTGCTTTGGCCGTCATGGCCTTCTGAGAGCCGAAAAATGAGAGAACGCTGAAATTGTCCCAGAACTATAGGTCAATCAAAGATTTTGGCCTCCGGAGGCGCTCTCGGGAGTCTTCTTGGGGGCCTCTTGGACCTTCTTGGGGGCCTCGTGGGCCCTCTTGGGGCCATCTTGGGCCGTCTTGAGGCCGTCTTGGGCTGTCTTGGGGCCATCTTGGGCCGTCTTGCAACCTTCTTGGGGCCCCAAGAGGCCCAAGAGACCATCTTGAGCCGTCTTCACGCCCTCCTGGACCCCCAGGAGGCTCAAGGAGCCGAAATCATTGATTTTCCATTGATTTTTGTTGGTTTTTAGGCCCACAAGGGGCCCTCCACCTTTGGGGGGGAGAGATAACAATGTAACACAATGCAATATGTAGCAATTACGCAATTACGTTGCATTAGGGCTTCCGCTCCGCTGCGCGACCTGCCTCCGGCAACACGTCACTTCCGGACGTGGATTCCTCTCGCTTCGCGGGGTGCACGTCCGGAGCACGTGCAGTCACGTCGTCGCGGGGCCTCTTGGGAGCCTCCTGGGGGCCTCCTGGAGGCCTCTTGGGAGCTTCTTTGGGTCGTTCGGGGACTTCTTTGGGGCCCTTCCCCTCTTCCTTTTCATACTCCCTCCCCATCTTCCCTTCCAGCGCCGGCTCTAATCATGGGCGCCGCCGTGACCAACTTCCACCTGGCTGGCGCTGCGCCGTAGTTCGCCCAGGGAGGGAAATAACATTACACTCCAGTCGTTGTGTGGCCTTGTGGGGGCTTCTTTGACGCCTCTTGGAGGCTTCTGGGGGATTTCTTGGAGGCCTCTTGGGTTTTTTTTGGAGCTCCTTGGGGGCCTCGGTTTAGGGTTTAGGGTTTCGGGTCCACTAGCCCAAACTTGCAGCCCACTTGACCGTGTCCCACCCACCCATGA